GACCGCCTCGTCGAGCGCAGCGCTGCGGTTCTCGCCAGAAGCACAGAGAGCGTGGCCTTAGTACAGTGCCCACGATCCGCGTCGCACGCTGGGTACAGACCGCGCGCAGGCAGACGAACGCACGCACGCGACGCGCACCGAATAACCCGGGCACGACTACAAGTGCGGTAGATAGGGGTCCATGCATGAATCAACGGTGCTCTCCGCCTAGGGACGTCAGGTGCCTGCGGGTCGGGACGCCACGCGACGCGTCGGCGTCCGGGCACGGCAACGGCATGTGGGTTCATGCACGCACGCACGCAGATAATACGCGCTCACGAGCCACGCTCGGTGCACGCACACGTCCAACCGCAAATGCCTGGTGCTTGCACGCCACGCACGGCAGCACGGATGCTAGATGTTGAGGCGGCGTGCAGGGGGCGAGGGTTGCGGCTTCGCGCTGCACGCAAGTAAACAGCAGCAAGCAGGGCACAGATGCAATCGCATAGGCGTGCGTGCATGTAACTGAGCACAATCACCCTATACTTAGCGATCAGCGATAGCTGGTAATTGCAGTGAATAAAGTAGTATCAGTACAGGCCGAGTATCTTGGTAGAGAGCAACTCTATAGCGCATAGGTGCGAAGGAAAGCCAGATCGTAGGCCCCTACATATGTGATAGAGAGAAACATGTAGAGAATGCGATATATATATCGGTCACATTAGAGTGAATACAATTATGTTTTTATTCACACCTGATAACATTAATGTCGTTTTTCAAACTATGTTGCCGTGAGATGTTAAAGCTAGTTTCTCGAGGTGCTTAAAAATTTCTTTGATATTTTCGAAGTAATTTTGAGACGCGAGAAAGACATACGAATGACGGGTCTTAACCGGCTTGGTGTCCGCTTTTATTGCAGTTTTAAACCCTTAATTGTATAAAAGCGGAAACCGAACCCTAGTTTTAATAAACATTCAGCAATAAACAGCAATAACAACTATAATAATAAAGCATTTATCGTTTTTTCACAATTATTTACCGCTTGGTGCTTCAGCAGCGATAGCGTCATGAATGAATCTTATCTTTCGTCATTAGCAATTACACTCGAACTGCATATTCCACGTCATTGCTCATTAACCAGTGAAGCAACACAAGACAATCTGCTAATACTGCAAGTAATGCGAGAAGCATTTCGCGTAAAGAAGTGTCGCCAGTGGCCGTTTGACAGTGCAGTTCACAACTGATACCTGTTCACAGCGCGTATCCAACGTGGGCGGCAATACAAAGCAATTTCAGATGCCAGCTTCCGTATTTTTAAGCGAGCCGGGGCAAAAAAAACGCGCTCGGTAATAAAACGCCAGGAGAAATTAATTCTATAGAAATTCTTTTTTACATAAAACATACACTGATACGACCCGTGATGTCTGTCTAGGAATCGCTTTACATCATACCTGTAATTGACTGTCACTCTAAAAGAAAGTAGCTGTCATATCAACGTTTCCGCCTTGATACCAATGGTTTTCTGTCATAATGCTTACAATTAACATCTAACTCTGCCGAAAATTTTGCGCAACACAGTAAGAGCAGTAAAGGAGGACTGGCGCCGTCTGATTTACTGATCCAGCAAACTTTATTGATCTCATGGTTAAATATGTATCCCCGTCAGAGACAGATTGTGCATGATATGCGTGGCTGAGTTTGTCTCTATATTGAACGTGAATTTTTTTCCAGTATTGCCTGTTTAGTGAAAAGACGCTCAAGCAAACTTAACTGCAAACTTTGTTAGTTTTTTTTTTTTTTTCGAAAACTGATTTATTCTCCATTTATGTGAACGGTTACCCATTGTTAGTGTAGAAAATTTAATATGTGGTTCTAAGGAAGACAGAGGCAGCCAGATAGTGTTAGTAAAATCTAACGATTTGGGCCAACTTCGGAGTTATGTTTTTTCAACGATTACTAGACTCACT